ATATGAGCTATAGTGGCTGTGACCCTTCAGCCGCCGGCTCCCTCAGGACCTGCAGATGCATCTCATTAGGTCCCATGGACTTAGAATCATAGAATCACTAGGTTGGAAAAGACCTTAGAGATCATCCAGTCCAACCGTAGTTGGACAAGTCCAGTATGACTTGTGTACCTTCACATTCCTGAGGTGGTCTCAGACCTGCTCTTCTGCTGTGGGTGGTTCTTTGCTCTCCCAGTCCCTGCCCTTGCCTTCTGCGACTTGGGCGGTGTGGCTTGAGCGCTTGCCAGTGAAGACTGGGCAAAAAAGTCTTTGAATACCTCAGCCTTCTCAATATCCCAGGTAACCAGGTCTCCTGTTTCCTTTCAGAGGGGGCCCACTTTTTCCCTGTTCTTCTTTTTATCACCCGTGTACCTATAGAAGCCCTTCTTGTTGCCCTTGACATCCCTGGCCAGGTTTAAATCTGTCGGGGCTTTAGCTTTCCTAACCTGATCCCTGGCTGCTCAGACAATTTCTTTGTAATTCTCCCAGGCTCCCTATCCTTGTTCCACCCTCTGTGGACTGACTTTTTGTGTTTGGGTCTGTCCAGGAACTGCTTGTTTGTCCACACAGGTCCTCTGGTGGTTTTGCCTGGCTTCCTCTTTTTTGGGATGTATCGCTTCTGAGCTTGGAGGAGGCGATCCTTGGGTATTAAGCAGCTTTCTTGGGCCCCTCATTCCTCCGGAGCTTCATCCTTGGTACTCTACCAAGCAGATCCTTGGTCAAAGTCTACCCCTGTTGAAGTCCAGGGTAGTGAGCTTGCTGTGCACCCTCCTTGCTGCCTGAAGGATCTTGAACTCCACTTCATGGTCACTGCAGCCAAGGCTGCTTGGCATTCCCCACCAGCCCCCCATTGCTGGTGAGAACAGGTCCAGCATGGCACTCGTCCTTGGAGAAGAAAGCAGTCATCAACACGTTCCAGGAACCTCCTGGATTGCTTATGCCCTGCTGTGTTGTCCCTCCGAGGGGTGGTTCAAGTCCCCCATGAGGACCAGAGCTTGTGAGTGGGAGGCTGTTCCTATCTGTCTGTAGAGGGGTTCATGTTTCAGTCGTCTTGGTTGAGTGGCCGGTAGCAGAACCCCACTATAATGTCACATGTTTATAAAATACACCCTAAGTGTCACTTATTTATAAAATACATCAGGTGGGATTCATCTTAATTTTAAGAATACTTTATTAGATTACAGTAAACTCAGACCTTCCATATCATGACCAGGGCATCACTTTGTTATGCAGATGGTTTGCCGAAGCTTCCATCTGTCCAAATGACATGGGCAAGTTATTACTCCAGAAAGCTTCGTCTCTAAAACGGGGATGATGTTGACTCTGATTGCAGGGAACATTCAGAAGGGTTCCTTGAGCTTTGTACATCTGGTACCTTGATGTTCTTAGGGTCCTGAAGGTGCTACTGTACAACAAAACCATCTTCAGTCAGGATCCTTCAGAGTATTGCCTTGATGCCAAGGCTCTGCTCTGCTCTTGGTGTTTAGTGCTGCTTGCGCTCAACTGGAAACAAAAACCTTGTTGAGTCTGGCAAACTAAGACAGCTACTAATTTCTACTGCCTTATTTCTACAAAATGTCAACTTTCAATTATACTGCATGAATGCAGCTCCTTATTAAACTTTGAAATCTCTGGAATTAACATTTCTTATAGTCTTGCAGACTGCAGTCCAGACAACCTCGAATGTGAGAATCACCAGAGCAGCCTCCTCTGCAGCCAGACAGATGCTGAAAACAACATCTACTGCTGGTAAGCGAGGCTGTGAGTGTAGTCCTGCTCATGTAGCTCAAGCCTGATACGTGAGTATTTGAGAGAGTGCGCTGTAACGAGATATCATCTAGTACTGGATAAGTGAGCGCTGGAAACAGCATGTGTACCTTTACATGCTGCTCTTGCTCATTGTCAAATGATCTACTCAGCTCTGTTGTCTGTAGGATCTTGCTTGTATCTTGGCACTCTGTCGTGTGGAGATGTGTATCGGCTTGTTCTGAGCCGTCTTAGCACACTGCGTTCTGCTGTGTAACCATCTCCTTTGAACAGATAGACGGTATGTAAATCAAGCCAAATTGTCATGTAAGAAAGGGAACAAATACTGTATCGCTTGGACTCTCATCTGGAGCTCTATTGCAATGTTTAAATCAAGGTGTTGAAATGAACATTGGAGAGTTTCCCATAAAATCCATCAGTGTGGAGCATTAATAGCCATGCAGTAGTTGTAAACAGGAAGAACAAAACCAGAACTGGTAAAGATTTGCCAGTTAGGTTTATCACTGTTTAAGGACCTATGATTATGAAGTCTGTGATCAGGAAGAGAGATCTGGAAGCGATGAGAGCCTATGTTCTCCAGGTCAGGAATTTCTTTGTTTACTAGAATAGGGAGCTTAATGGTTACTGACGGGAAAATTTTAATATGTATTTTTATTCTTAGGAAATTCTGCAGAATGCTTTGCAGTAATTTGCAGATTTGCATAATCCCTTGTATTATGCATGTCAGGAGTTACCCCCTAGGCTGAAAGCACAGCTTTGATATTATCAGCTTCACTTCAAGAGAAATCGTATGCCATATAGAAATTAAAGATCTGAACTCAAATTCCTTTGACACTACCTCTTCAGCCTTTAAGGAAATGAGGTGGCTTTGGTTTTTGGCATGTGACAACATCTAAAGACTAATGACTCAAAGAATCTTTTCCTTTCCTGGTGATACATTTCTTAATAGGCTGTTAAATCCTAGGCCAGGTTTTCTTTTGAATGAACTGCTGTAACTATGTGTCTGCCCTCTAGTCACCTCCCGTTCAAAAAAACAAAAAGAGTCTCGCCCTGTCTCTAACCACTTGACTTTTATGGCAGTGTTTTGGTGAAATATTGTCTTATTCAGATGCCTTTTTGACCTTTGGGAGTTTCTATCACTCTAGGTAACCAGTCACAGAGAAAGACAGCAAATGCAGGGAAGCAGAAGAAAGAGGTCAAACCTGACATCATGGAGGTAGGTCATTTAATCTTGAAATGGAAAAGCAGTAAAACTGATGTAAGAGCTAATAACAGTGTAATTGTAGCTCAAATATACTTGTTTTCAAGCAAGTTCACTAATAAGCTAGATTTTTGGAATAAGCTGTATGTATATGTATAGCCATATTTTTAAAGTTAAGATTGAATGCATATGGATGACTATTACTAATCAAGATTTGGACAATTATTTAAATTAGAGATATGTCATGTGAAAACATCTCATGTCTGATGTTTTACCTTGTTAAAACCAGCAAAGCAGCCTTTTTTTTTAATGTAGTATTTGTAAAATTTGTGCAGTTCATTCCTTGCTGAAACATACTCTATATTTTTCATGTTAAGGTAATGATATGAGACTTCAGAAGCTAAGAAATAAATGTATTTTTAGGTTTTGAACCACACAAAAAGATAAAGCAGGAAATGTTATTCTCTGCTAGGTAGACGTAGTTTAAGGCAGTCACTGTGGTTCTCCATGTCACCACTACAGCAAAACTTTCCTACCTCTACAGAGAGACAGCAGTACATGAATGCATCGTAGCCCTCCAACCCAGCCTCCCAAACAATTTACGTATGCATTCGTACGAGAGCCATCGATTGGTCTTCATAGAATCATAGAATGGTTAGGGTGGGAAGGGACCTTAACGATCATCTAGTTCCAACCGCCCTGCCATGGGCAGGGACACTTTCCCCGAGCCCAGGTTGCTCAAAGCCACATCCAGCCTGGCCTTGAAGACATCCAGGGATGGGGCCTCCACAACATCTCTGGGCAACCTGTCCCAGTGCCTCCCCACCCTCTCTGTGAAGAATCTCTTCCTGATATCTAATCTAAACCTCCCTGATTTCAATTTGTCCCCATTACCCCTTGTCCTATCACTACAGGCTCTTGTAAAAAGTCCTCTCCCAGCCCCCTTGTAGCCCCCTTCAGATACTGGAAAGCTGCAATGAGGTCTCCTCGGAGCCTCCTCTTCTCCAGGCTGAACAAGCCCAGTTCTCGCAGCCTTTCGTCATAGGAGCGAGTGCTCCAGCCCTCTGATCATCTTCGTGGCCTCCTCTGGACTCGCTCCAAGTGGTCAATATCCTTCTGATATTGAGGGCTCCACAGCTGGACGCAGCACTCCAGGTGGGGTCTCACCAGAGCAGAGTACAGGGGCAGAATCCCCTCCCTCGCCCTGCTGGCCACACTTCTCTGGATCCAGCCCAGGATACGGTTGGCCTTCTGGGCTGCCAGCGCACACAGCCGGCTCATGTTCAGTTTTTCATCTTCTCCTTTGCCCTCCACCATCCCCTCTCACCTCGAACGCTTCCTCTCTCCGCTCCTATTTCCATACGGGAGCTGTGCTCTAGTGTTCTCTAGACCCACGCACACACGCTGACAGGAGGTCAGAGCCACTCAGACCTTCGCTTAGATAAGCACCTCTTCAGCGGCAGGGCTTGCTCTGTGCTGCTGGGTGGTAAGCTCTTGCTGTAACCTCGGTCACCTCGTTACAAGAAGGGTGTTACAAGTTGAATTCAAGGCTTATGTTCCAAGCCGGGCTATCTAAAGTCTCACAAGACTTTCAGTGTCTTGAAGGTGCGTGTTTTCTGGAAAAGAACAATCCTAAAAAGTTTTGGCAGATTTGAGCTATCAATAGCTCAATACTGGGGTCTCAGCAATGTGTTTGGTAATACTGTCTGGTCATTCGTCTCGTAAGAATGTGGTTTGACCTTACTGATTAACTTTTTCTCCTCTCTGAACGCCATTCTGCGGCCTTAACTGCACTTGTATTCTCCTTGTCTTGCCCTGCGTTCCTCAGCTATCAGCTTATTTTACCTTGTTCTTCAGTCTTTGGTTTGGACTATGTGTATAAACTGTAATTATTCAACAGGCCTAGTTGGATCTGGAGCCAGTAGTTCTGCTCTTGAGGAGCTTATCTCCTTAAAGCATTTTTTTCTAGCAGTTGGGAACAAGCGTTTGCTAATCTTAATTACTCCTTTGGTAGGTGGAGTGTTCTGCTACTGTAGCCCCTACAGTGGAGTGTTGCATTCCTCGCAGTGAAGTGCTCTGCCTGTTGCTAGAATGATTCCCAGGTGTCAAAACCAGTTGGGCTTCTTGGTAAATCCCGACTCCTGAAATCAGGGCTTCTGTACGTGTGTACTGTTGTAGGAAGTGACTTACTTGAAACTCTGTCCTTCCTGCTGGCTTTCAGACAGGGATGTTATAATTCAGCCCATGCCTGCAGTAAATAACTGATTGATTTAGTGACATAGCGTTCGCTTTGTCTGTTTGTCCCGTTATAGGTAATTCCTTCTCTACATGAAACGGGTAAAAATGCTCAACTGGACCCAGTGATGAAAGATTCTGCACCTGATTCTAAACATTCAGTGTCAGTAGAACTTCGACAGGGACAGACTTCAGCGGAAAAGAAAAATGCTTCTCCACCGGGGAGACCCAGAACACGCTCTTTTGCACCTCAAAACTTTGTGTTTCAGCCATTAAATGGATTAGCGACTTACAAAGTCACACCCATGAGTCCTTCTAGGGCAAACACGTTTTTGACACCTGGTGCCTTCTGGGATTTTTCAAACTCGCCAGTGTAAGATTCCTTCTTCTAATAAATCAAAATGCAAGGGAAACTCTCTGATGCCACAGTAGGCATCCTGTTTCTGGGGAGGGATTCCCTGTGTAACTCTGTGTTGTTGAAAACCGTATCGTTGCGGTTGATCCTGTTGCTTAACCAAAAGCAGACTTACTCCTAGAGCAAAGCAAACTCTATAATCTATAATCCTGTCTGCGCTTTAAAGTAAAGCAGCTCCATAGATCAGGGACTTGTGCCATATATATCCATGTGCGCATTTCTTAATTGGAATAGGAATTGCTCCCTCTCTCTCGTGTTGAATGTAACACAGCCTAGCAGGCGGGGTGAGTTTTGTGTATCTGGCCATATCTGATGTCAGTTTCTCAGTGTGTCCTAACTCTACGTGTGCTTTGTTGTTTCCAGTAATATATTTAAAACTTCCAACGAAACGAAGGCACAAGAACCAAATGTGAAAAGTCGAGTTTCATCTGCTGGTAAAGGTATTGGAGAACAGCAAATCTGTACGAGTTTGAAAGGAGAAAAAGGTATGAAGTCCCCGTTTAGTTTATTGTTCTAATGTTTTTATTTTTCACCACATTCTGAACAAATGCCTTTATTTTTCAGCAAGTGAAGCAGATGAGAAAACTTCCATCCGGAGCTCAAATGAAACCATTCCAATCTCTACAGATGTAACAGCGCTTGAAACGAGGTCAGATGATACAAGAGAGCAAGAGCGTGACGTGCCCTATTTCAGGTTTGTGTTAATTTGCTTCCCTTCCCTGTTGTCCTTTCAGAGGTCCTTAATGTGAGTAAGGAGACCCGGTGTAAAGATTAGTTTATGGTGGTTGGTGTCTCTGCAGTGACCTGGGTGGGCACACATTTTTGTCATTAGTGACAGTAAAGAATATAAAACGCTGGAGAGCAGCACCTTGTCCTACGCAGCGCAAGCTTGCAAGCACTAGAGAAGAAACTGCACCTCAGCCAGTCAGCGAGCTGAAACACCCCATTATAGAAAACAGACTGCAGCATCTCTGAAAGCAAGAGGATAATCGTTAACAGTCACAAGCAGTGACAGCAGTCAGAATATTCTCCAAAAACTTATTTGTTTCACTCTCCCTTTACTTTTAGAAATATTCTTCGCTCTGAGACGGAGAAGCTGATGTCTCAGTGCCACCAGTGGGATGGAAAGTTTGAGCTGGACATTCCAGACGATGGTAAGACTGAACTGTAATTGGCACTAGAGGGGGTGTTACAGTAACTGAAGGGGACAAAGGGAAGTACATGTATCTGAATATGTGTGCCAAACAGCTCAGTCTACAGCACTTAGTAACACTTGTATTAGAGTTGAGAGTTGTGTCTGTCTCAAGACAAAAAGGTGTGCTTTATCTCCTAATAGTAGTTTAAAACTTGTAGTTTTACTGAGGTGAGTACTTGATAGTGGTTGACACTAAAGTGGACAAAGTGCATATCAAAATAGTTTTTCTGTTGTTGGTTTTAGGTGTATTTACATGTATGAACTTTAACCAAGCTGATATGTTTTAACATAATTAGTTTTTAACACAGAATCAGTGCCCTTATCTGGGAAAATGAAGGTGACTCATCAATGCTTATCTGTAAGACTTAGAGATAGTAATGTTTTCTGAAAGAAGCCAGTTTACAGCAGTTCAATGGAGCTCCTTCTGAATTGTACTGCGGGACTGCCATAGCTGAAGCTAGTTCAAACCATAAACAGATTCCAGACTCTTGAAATACTTATTTAAATCAATCGTGAAATGATGGATTATTCAAAGATGTACTTCGTTTATTGTTTTCTTGTTGCTACCAGCTAAAGATCTTATTCGCACCACAATTGGTCAGACAAGACTGCTCATAGCAGAAAGGTTTAAACAGTTTGAAGGACTGGTGGATAACTGTGAATTCAAACGCGGTGAGAAAGAAACAACGTGTTCAGACTTAGATGGGTTTTGGGACATGGTTAATTTTCAGGTATGTACTTGTGGGTTAACCTACTAGAATAAAGTTGATGGGGTTAATTACAAACAACGGATTGAAAGTATTATTTTGGGTTTGAATATTCAAATTCTGATTTTTTTTTTAAATATAAAAAAATGCAGGTCCTTGCTTAACACTTTCTGATAGTGAATAGTACCATTTGGTGTACTACAACTTAGAATTTGGGGAGCTGTTCATCTGTTGAGTCTTGTTTTGTTCTGGAATGAAGTTGTGTAGCCAAGTGTTATTCTGGTTAGGAGTGAGGATACAGTCACAGCATCTACCTGGACCAAAAGCTGAGAGCTTTTGGAAAATTCCGAGGGCTCCCCTGAAAAGTAAGGGTTCCATGCTTCCATCTGAGAATAATGCAGGAACTACAGTAACCTTCTTTAGGGGTGAGCTTAGGGAGTAGAAAGCCTTCCTCTCTCTTGCTCTGTTGATGCTTCTGTTGGTTTCAGAATGGAATATAATATTCTAAATTATCAAAATGGCTCTTGACAGTATTGTAAATCAGCCTTCGACGAAGGGACTTGTAACGAGTTAAATGGAAAGGTGGGTTTGTTGTTAAGGTCCTAGCTGTAGGTCTTTAATTCCCCCTAGAAAGCCTAAGGGTTTGACCTACATCAGAGAGATTTGAGAGGAACTTTGCTAGAACCAGTAACTTGAAAACCAGGGTTTACCTATGCTTATGATGTGTCTGGGAGCAGCTCAAGTTTCTCCTGGGCGTCCCCACCTTTTCCCTTAGATAAACTTGGAGTAGCAGAATTGCTGACTCTGTCCGTTTGTGCATTCTTTCTTGGTTTGTGTTCTCTGAGATTCAGGGAGGATGTAAAGGACTTGTCACTTTAGTGACTGCTCTGCTGTACATGAATAAGCCTTGTATGGCCTCACCAGCAAAAGAGGCAAGTGTCTCTGTTACAAAGCTGAAGGAGAACAAAGCTGTTGCATTGAGTATCATGGAATCACAGAGTTGTTTTGGTTAGAAAAGACCTTTAAGACCATCAAGTCAACCGTTAACCGAGCACTGCCAATCCCAGCACTGACCCATGTCCCTGAGCACCACATCCACACGGCTCTGAAACCCCTCCCGGGATGGTGACTCCACCACCTCCCTGGGCAGCCCTTTCCAGTGCCTGACAACCCCTTCTGGGAAGGAATATTCCCTAATATCCAATCTAAACCTCCCCTGGCACAACTTGAGGCCGTTTCCTCTTGTCCTGTCATTTGGGAGAAAAGACCAACCCCCCTCTCTGCACCCTCCTGTCAGGGAGCTGTAGGGATCAGTAAGGTCCACCCTGAGCCTCCTCTTCTCCAGGCTGACCCCCCCCAGCTCCCTCAGCCGCTCCTCACAGGAATTGTGCTCCAGCCCCTTCCCCAGCTCCGTTCCCTTCTCTGGACACACTCCAGCCCCTCAGGGTCTGTCTGAGCCAGGGAGCAGGTAATGCTGCAGAGCTGGTTTGTCCCCACAAGCACAGGCTGCATCAGGAAGCTGTTCAGGCCACAATTTAAAAGAGCAAACAAGCTTCCTGACGTCTTTCCTACACGATGGAAGACTCGTGCTTGTTCAGATAAAGACTATTGCACAATGTGTTCTTTTGCATTCCTGAAGTGCAACCGTTGTCAGAAGTGCTTAAGTTCAGTATGAGAACAAGCTGTAAACCAGCTCCTTCATTTTAGATGTTTGAACTTACTGAATAATTCTGTACTTGCCTGACTAACCTTTAAACTACAGAAATTGTACCAGTCTCCTCATCTAGTCTTGCAGCTTGTGTACGTCAGCGTAACCTTCATCAGGTCAACTGTGTGCAAATGTGTTAAACATGGGTTGAAGTACCCAACGGCATGACTAGGCTTAAATTTGTCACTGATTTTACGAAACACTCTTCTGAGTTTTGCAAATTAACCTGGACTTTTCTGGAATTTCCAATAGATAGAAGACGTGAATAAAAAATTTGATAATCTGAAGAAGCTCCAAGACAACAACTGGCAACCAGTTGATGTTCCAAGCAAAGCAGTTATCAAGGTATGAATAACCCCAAAAGCATGTCTCTGAAGGTGCAGCAGTGTGAGATATTTCAAATAACTCGTAAGCTACTATTGCCAAAATTAATATTCTTCTTAAACAGAAGCTCCTTCTAAAGCCCTACTCATCTGGCTTCTTTAGATGTTGATGTTTAAAAAAAACTCGGTGAAATTCCTCCCTTGCTCCCGCGTGTGCTTGTATTAGCTCATTTGTAAAGTTAGTTGCCTCTTGGCTCGGAAGATTAGAACTCAGGATTAAGAGAAGATTAGAACTAAGAATTAATGACGACTCACTTGGAGTCATTGGACTCTTTGCTAGTAGGGCAAGTCATAGAATCCCAGAATGGTTTGGGTTGGAAGGGAGCTTAAAGCCCATCCAGTTCCAAACCCCCTGCCACGGGCAGGGACACCTTCCACTAGACCAGGTTGCTCCAAGCCTCAGCCAGCCTGGCCTTGGACACTTCCAGGGATGGGGCATCCACAACATCTCTGGGCAACTTATTCCAGTTCCTCCCCACCCTCTCTGGGAAGAATTTCTTCCTGATATCTAATTTAAACCTCCCCACTTTCAATTTAACCCCTTTCCCCCTTGTCCTGTCACTACAGGCCCGTGTAAAAAGTCCCCCTCAGCTTCCTTGTAGCCCCTTCAGGTACTGGAAGGTGCTATAAGGTCTCCCCAGAGCCTTCTCTTCTCCAGGCTGAACACCCCAACTCCCCCAGCCTGTCCCCATGGCAGAGGGGCTCCAACCCTCTGAGCATCTTCGTGGCCTCCTCTGGACTCGCTCCAACTGGTCCATATCCTTCTGATGTTGAGTGCTCCATGGTCTGTTAAATTTAGAATAGAAATTCACCCTTCAGAGCTAGAAAGAACGCTTTCTCTGGCCAGTGGTGTTGGCACTGACATAATGGAAAAGGAAACTACATGGGAATTTGGCAGTGACTGACAGTTTTGAGCTGTGAGCGCTAAATCATAGCGGTGTCCCGTTAATACAGTACCACAGGTAGCGTTATACTGATTCTCTAAGCACAGATGGTTCTGACAGCATCCAAAATTATTTTATAGTAAGCAGTAACTTTGCTGTAATGTCAGATATTTTAGCTACTCTTTGGTTTGGAATACATAATTGCTTCTAATGACTGACCACCAAGTCATTCTCACATTGCCTAATCTCCATCCAGTTCCTCGAGACTGTTTAACTAATCCCAAAAATCGATAGGAGGTTGGTAAGAAGCTTCAGGTACAGTAAACCAGAGGGAATGTAGCTGCCCCTGAACGTCAGAACCTTACAGATGGTCCATGACAAAACTTCCTTTGAAAAACTGAATGCCAGGAGAGACTTCACGGCCTGACGGATGTCTGTCCTGCTGTCACCTTATCTCCCTGCCACTAGGAGTCCCTCTATCCCATCGTTTTCAGGAATATTGACTGGAAGTGTTAGAAAATAGTTGTCCTGAGTATTTCTGAACTGCAGAATCAGTACGAAAAATCCTTCATGTTGTCATCACCTGAATAGCTGCCCAATCCAAGACATTCTGGAGATGAACGGAGACCTTGGCTCCACTCTCTTGCCTGTCACTGTGTGTGGCTGGCAGCTGGGTGGATGTTCATGTGCAATAGCTTCTACCCGAAACTTCTCAATGTGACCGAGACTTTCTTACCATTTCAGAAAAAGGCTATTCCAAATGGCGCATCTAAACCAAAACTGGGAGCAGCTGGAAGAACTGCTGCCCGAAACCAGCTTGCTGCTATAAAAGCAGCCATGAGGGAAAAAATGAAGAATGCTGGATCTGCTGGTTGTACACATCAGGGGAAGCTACCAGAAGTAGAAACAGTGGTTTTTGAAGCAGGATTTTTTAGAATCGAAAGCCCTGTGAAAACTTTTCCAGGTGAGTGGTGCTTAATCATGATTTCTATAACCTGAAAGTACTGAAGAGAGTTTTGCCTGTCTCAGTGGGGAGAGGAATTATGCTGTTTATACTGGATACAACTCCAGTACTGGACACAATATTTCAACTAGTGTTTAATTATATCAGGGATCCAAAGTAAACTGTTCTACGTGCATGTGCTGAAATCTCAACATGAAATCTCTGCTTATCAGGGAGGCAAGAGCAGCTGGTTCCTGGATTTTTCAGCATGTGTTTAACAATGAAGTGTTAATCTGGGTGTTCCCACAGTTAGCTGACGAACCTGTTCATCAGAGTCGATGCAGGTTGATGTCCTCTACTTGTAAGTCAGGAACTGGGGTTTTTTGGAACTAGATCTCTTGCAGTGCTGTCTTCCAAGATGCAAATAAAGTATGCCTGTCACCTGTATGCGTGTTCAACAAGTTTGTAACGTAATTCCTGTCTGCTATAAAAGCTGTTTAATAGGATTTTTTGAGCAGGTGCTCAAAACACAATTTTCTGTATCTATCTTGTTGCAATCCACGTGAAGCCAGTGTTTTCAGTAATCCTTGACTCTGGGAGCTGTCCTGCTTCCCTCCCATTTCTAGCTCGCAAATTGACTTTGAATTTTGCAGTTTATTTTTTTTGTGTATGTCTCTCCTCATCACAAGACTAGCAAGCTTTTCATAGGCCTCTGCTGAGTAGAGGAGACCTTCTGCAAAGCTTTGAGCAACACCGGGTGTGAGCAAGCTCTACAAGCAAATCTGTTGAAGAATGAGTTCTGAATCTGTGTCTCTTTCATTCTATTTAAATTATCTAGTGTGAAAGATGGAAATCAATGACAGCTTCTAATAAGAACAGCAAGTTTCATTATTTCAGGTTCTTTGCAAAGGGATAGTCATTATTAAATTGCTTAGCTGGAGTTTTGTACCTTACTGACCTACTCATCACCTTTTTTTAATTTCTCCTTGCAGTTTTATATAAGATTTCAATGAAATATTTGTGGAGGACAACTCAGCAAGCAGAAAATCAGAGTATTGCTAGCTAGAATCCAAACAAACAGTTAATTTCATCTTATAATGAGACAATAAACACACTTTTTCAGGCTTGCTGTCACAGACACCTCGCAGATCTTCCCAGCGGACTTTGGAAAAGCTGGCGACTCCAAGATCATCCAGTAGAGCTTTGCTTCAGAGCTTTCCTTCGCGTCCTCGCAATCCTGAGGATGCACCTGCGAAACAAACACCACCAGTGCTCGAAGGCTCCCACTCAGCAGAGAATTTGAAAATGCACCAAGTTCTCACTGGAAGAACTCCCCCGCTGGAAAAACTCCCTGGTGGCTTCCGGGACCAAAGGTAGATGTGTTCAGGCAGCTTTTAATTAACTGTGTACAAATAACTTCAGTGTCTTAACTGAAAGAATTAATATTAACATTACCTTCTGGCAGCGATAAAGATTGCAAAGTCCTTGTGTCTTTTCCTTCCCTCGAGCAAATATGAAGAGCTTTGCCCAAATGTAATTTTACCGCTGGGGCAGAAGTTTAGGGTTTTTTTTTCCCAAAAAATCCAATATAGCTGACTGGTGCCAAGCAAGTGTAACTGCCAAGCAAATTGTAAGATCAGTTGTTAAGTTAGAGATGATTGAAGGTGGTTTCATGAAGATAATTGAGAAGAATGAAAACCTTTTGGTTTCTCCCTTAGCATTTCCAAAGTGGCAGAGGAACACTGTCCTGTTGCTGGCACAGCAGAGGGAACCAAGGTAAGTCGTGCATAATTAATGCATGTGCTTTAAATATTCCATTATTATCAGCAATTAAAAAAAAATTAGCCCAAAACAGAGTATTTTTTATTCATATCCTTATGAGAATATCTTCTGTATCCCTCAGGCCAGTGCTTTTTCCTTCTCAGTATGGACATAGATAGGGACTGCAGCAATTTGGGGACCTTGTCCAGCTCTTTGGGAGCTCTGTTGGAGGTCCCGTTGGCTGCTGTGTGATGACACTTGTCACTTGGGTGAGCAACGTTCCTTGAAGCCCACCACCTGTTTCCTGGTGTGGATTTTTTTTAAATGCTTTTGCATTTGAGGGCCACGACTAAAAGCCACGGCAGTATTTAGCAGTGTCCTCGTGCTGCTGCAGCAGAGCGTTGCGCTGTTACGCTCTTTAAAGGTACAGCAAGACCTTTACTAGTTAGGTGTTACTAATACTTGTATCGGAGTTCAGAAATCCGCGCCCTGCAGTGTCTGAGGACTTGGTGACATGCCTATGTTTGAGTAGCCTTAAAAACCCAGGAATGCTGTCTCCATGGTTTAGATGATACTGGGCTACTCACCCTGTGAAAGCTGGTGCTTTGCAGTTAATCATCATTTAGTACCTTCCAATGGAAATGGAGTATTTTAATTTTGTTACTGCTTGGATCTGTGCATGATTACAGCAGTTGCTTCTTCCCCATATATATTAAAAAATAAGAATCTTGTGCCTTTTACCTCATCATTTCATTGTCAAATGAGAAATCACTTGTTGGTGATGTCGCTCCCTGGGGAAAAGTGTGGCAACCTTTACCTTTCAGTGTTGCTGGTAGGGTTTTCTTGAGGCGAAGTCTCATTAGAGAATATCCTCAGAATGTTTTTGGCACTTGAAGTTCACAATCTTCTTTGGCGTGGAAGCACTTCCCCTGGACTCACTGAGAGATTATCGAGCTTACAAGGGTGTTTGGGAAACACCTGACGTGCGGTGGATGACGGCGTTAAGCTGCCAGCCTTGTCCTGGCTGTGCTCGGGGTGGAGTCTGGAGTTAAAGCCCTGTCTCGCTCCTGAATTATGTGTAAAACCTGCAGATGAGGTCTATGGGCTTGGTTTGACAGAACAGGGACATGCTGGTTTCTGCAAACTCACGTCCCTCGAATGCCCTGGCTGCCTTTTCACCTTTGCTTTCTGCACCGAAAGCTGACAAACTCCCTCGTATTGCAGACAAAAGAGAAAATAAGGAAGCTTCCAAGTGCCATGGGGGTGCTGCCTCCTGTCCCTCTGACTTGGCTGGCGCCATCCTTTTGGCTCTCTGGGAAGCAGATAGAGCTACCGCAGACAGCCTCTCGGAGGGCAAGGAACAGTTAAAATGCCTCTTTTTCAGGTGCTGGAAAACTCGAGCAGTGAGTTAAAAGTAACGGATGGCATGGAAGAGGTGGAACTGTCTGCTGCAGAGCAAGGACAAGACGTTGTCATGCGCAGTCCGGAGAAGGAGACCTGCACAGAGAGAACCAAATCTGGAGAACCAAAACCCCATCCAACGGGTGCGTATCCGAAACCGGCTTCGTGCAGGCTGTGTGGCATCGCTGGGGCCTTGTGATTAGTTGGAATACCCCTCTGTGAAGCCACCGGCAGCGCAGCCAGGTTAATCTGTGCATGCTGTTAGCAGAACCTCCTCTGGCTAGCCCGACTTACGCACGTGTCGCACCTGAGCAAACAGGTTTTCCTGCGTCGTTTCCGTGCGATACCTGAAGGAGGAAGCTAAAAGGCTTGAAGTAGAAGCAAGCACAGAGCTCAGGGTTGGGATTTTCCAGTAAACACAGAAGGCAATACCGTGTTTCCAGCTTTGGCAGCATCAGACTAACTTTTTTTTTTTTAAAAAAATGAAATATTCTTATTTTTCAGATATGTCATGTAGTGATTTGACACCCATCGGCAGAAATCCTTTTGATATCGTAAGTGGACCTTCAGGTTTATTTTGCTATGGCGATCCGCGGGTTGCAGTGCCGTTAACCTTTCCTACGGAATCGGTTAGTGTGCCAAGTGAACTAAACTCTGCAAGGTGTTAGCGAGCCAATTCGTATAGCTAACTACAAGGCACGATTCCTGTCTCCCTGCTCGGGCTCACAGTGTTGTTTCTTATGGTACACGATGAGTGTGGGATGAATCAAGACATTTGTAACAGAACAATGTCCGATTCTTATCGGATTGATCCTTTAAATCATATTTCTTTGTAAATATTTACTTAACGTAACGAAGGGCCTGGCCTTTTCCTTCCATTTTCTTCTTGGTGCCCATGGTAGTGAGTGAGAGGTGAGGGAATTGCATCTCCTGTCCAGCTGTGGAGCCCTCAACATCAGAGGGATATAGCCCGGTTGGAGTGAGTCCAGAGGAGGCCCCGGAGATGCTCCGAGGGCTGGAGCCCCTCTGCCATGGGGACAGGCTGGGAGAGTTGGGGGGGTTCAGCCTGGAGAAGAGGAGGCTCCGGGGAGCCCTTATAGCACCTTCCAGTGCCTGAAGGGGCTACAAGGATGCTGGGGGGGACTTTTTACAAGGGCCTGTAGTGACAGGACAAGGGGTAACGGGTTTAAATGGAAAGTGGGGAGGGGGGTTTAGGTTAGATATCAGGAAGAAATTCTTCCTGGAGAGGGTGGTGAGGCACTGGGACAGGTTGCCCAGAGAAGCTGTGGATGCCCCATCCCTGGAAGTGTCCAAGGCCAGGCTGGATGAGGCTTGGAGCAACCTGGTCCTAGTGCAAGGTGTCCCTGCCCATGGCAGGGGGGTTGGAACTAGATGATCTTTAAGGTCCCTTCCAACCCAAACCATTCCACGATTACCTGACAAAAGCATTTTCTGCTGGTCTGTCCTGCGACGTTGAAGTGGCCTCTGAAGTCGGCAGGCACCTGATGCACAGAAGCAGTTGCCTGACAGTAATTAGTTGTCCTGGTGTTTATACAGATGTCACTAGAGAAAGGGGAATTCACTGGTGGCTTATTGCATGTGTCATTTTGCTGGGCAGATCATTGTTCCTCACTTCTCTCCCTGGTTTCTCCCGCAGCTGGGGCTGGATGCTGAGCTTCCCATCACTCCAGTCAAGAGTCAAGCCCAGAAGTTGGCAGCAGCTGAAGCCTTCAGTGACCTTATTGTGTTTTCTCCCTTTTCTCCCTCGGGGGAAAAATGAAAAGTGACTTGAAATTCAAAATGTATAAATTATATTAACCAAAAAAGACCCCAGTGCCGCAAAGGATATCTGGAATAGACCCTTGAACTGTCCCCTGAGCAGAGAAATACCGTGAGTAGTTTGTAGTGGAACGTATTAAAACCTTCTGTAACGTTTTATGGGGTGGGCATTGTGCAGTCTGTGGGTACCGCTGGGTGTTGGCAGCGGGATGGTTGCTGGGGATACCCGCTGTGTCCAGCCATGGCACAGTCTGGCTGCAACCTGAAACGCTTTTATTCTTTGCATAATTTCCTGTTAGTCTCTGTCTACTTTATTCATCTTGAAGCTTTTCTGCCCTGACCTTACTTACTTCATAATTATTAGTCTAAGATGCCCGTTTCTGGTGCAAGGGCACTTTCTGGGGGTAAAAACTCAGCCCCGTCCCCCGAAGCACCGTTCCACCCTCCGCCGGGAGGGAACTGTCGCGCCCTGGGGCTCCGGTAAGCTGTGCAGTAACCCCTCTGCCCCGTCAGCAGCTGGGACAGGGTGTGACGCCTGCGCTGCTTTGCTGCGGGAGCCTTTCCCCTGTTCAACCACCGCTTGCTTTGTCGTCATAGAAACAGTCTCAGAACAAGGGTTTGGAGGTCAGACAGTATCTTTTCCTGGCAATGTATTAAAAGAGGCATCAATTATTATTTCCTTTAAGGACACACTTATTGAGTATTTTAAGGACTCCCCAGCCCATCCCTATTCTCTCTTTATGTGAAAACCTTTTAACCTCTTTCTCCGAACACGTTAACCTCAGCCTCTTCTCGCAGCTTGTTCCTCTTGCGTTCTTTTATCCGGGCCGTAGCAGCGTGCCACTTGCACACCATATTTCCTCAGGGG